AACAGAACCTTAGAAAAGGTGAAACCAATATATTTAGAATAAAAAATGTGTCCTCTGCTCATTTATAGGAAAACCTGCCTGTCATTAAGCAGATTCAGACAGTAGCCTATACACTAACAATGAAACACATGAACACATTTTACAGTTTAAAAAGCAGAATCTGAGCTAACAGAAAATGCTCCGTTTTAGTTTGATACATACAGTTAAACTCACACACACTATTTTATGAACACATAGGTTCACCTGCTGAATACAAAATAACAAATGAACCAAAGAAAGTGAAAACAATAAATCAAATTCAGGCAGAAGGCGTATAGATCCACATTTAAAGTTTTAGCCTACAGAACAGTACAGTTTACGAAGAAGGAATAAAATCTGCTCCTGCCGGTAATGCCCAACTTTTACAAATGTTACAGTAATCTGATTACGTCTTTTTTTTAACTGTAAGCGAATACAGTTTCCTTTTTTGTGTCCTGATTACGCATTACATGTAATGCGTTACTCCCCAAGCATGATTAGGTAGACTTTCCAACACGCAAAAGACAAAAAAGAGAATTAATGTACCAAACTATATACTACATGAAAATAACACAGTAGAGTTCTGATATCAGTTTTACAAAAACACATTTGAGTGAGTCATTGCAACAAAGAACTAGTAACAATCTCAGAAGCATATGGTTGACCTCTGGCTCTGCCAAAGGGGCCGATTCTCCCTCCGCACCTTATCTCTGATCTAATTATCTCGATTTACCATCCAGTAGATGGATGAAAGTTTTCCTGTCTGCTGGCTACACTCATTTGTAGCCTCCTTGCATCTTGAGTGGCCTTATTTAGCATTCGCCTGTTCTTCTGGATAAAAAGAACCATCCGGATGCCTAATCACTCACTGTAAAATATAATCTCCCGCTACTCTTTGAAACATTCCTTTCAACCACAACAGAAGAATCGTTAAACTTCCACTGTAACAGATTCTGTACAATTCCGTCTCTTACATTGTCCAAGGGAAAGAAAGTGGAAGCTGTGACCTTTTACAATGCCACATTATAGATTTGAATGATAGTAATGGCATTTAGCGCAAGGCCTCTGAAAATGACACCCCCCATGAATCTTCTCTGCTTTGTTCTGATGTCTTTTTCCGAAGTGCTCAGGCCTTGAACGCTTTGATTGAACGGCTGGTAGATTGGGTTAATTTAAAACTAAAGACATGCACATTTAAAATAACATTGAGGCTGGGGAAGAGACAGTGAAAACATGATAGCTGGATGTGGGTGATTAAGTCTTGATCCACGGTTAATGAGCATGTTGCAGAGACGACTCTGTTAAAACATCCCGTCAAAGGCAGACTAAAGCGTAATTGATCTGCCGTAACGCGATTCATTTGCCGCGGGGTGTCTCTTTCCCTCTGCTTCTGATCCATACCTCCACTAACCTCATGATCCGACATCTACCGGCTTCTATCTCCGTGCTCCAGCTTATGCACAGCTCAACATCAGGCTGATAAAACACAACGGTTATCCCTCCAACCCCTATTGATTTCGTATTGAAACCCTCCTCACTCGCCCGATTCCTCACAACGGCTGAGTGCTTGCTGTGAGGAAAATCTTAATCACCCCCTGCTATAAGGCGATCGGTCCCTGTGATTTTGGAAGTGAGTATTTATTTTTGAGGGTGATTGTTTTAGCAGGCAGGAGAGAAATTGGCCACAGCTCTTTTTCCCGCCTTTGTATTGGCTGTAAATTGGTTGTGGGTTCTTTGTAATCGAAGAGGCGACAGACAGAAACTGGCTTGTTACGATAATGTGTAAGGTAGGGGAATAATGTGGCTGTTTTCACACTTACATGGTGGTAAATGAGTGAAGTGGATGTGACAAAAATGTCTGGGCCCCATTCCCACTTTCAAAAGACAACATGTTGAGCCCCCCTGAATGAAAGAATCTACAGAAAAGATGAGCTAGAATCACTGATTGTAGGAGTTAGTTTTACAGTGAGCATAGAAAGGGGAAATTACACTCATGACTGAGTAGAAGGCTTAAGTAGCAATAGTAGATTTTTATATCAAATGCATCAATATATATCAATATATATCAATGCATTTCCACATTTCTATTTAACTGAAAGTACTGATATCTGTATCAAGAATAAGTAAAATCCCCCATTCACAACACACTCTGCTGCTTACTATAGTATTATAGAATAGTAAAAAAATGTAATAACATATGACAAGCTCCAAAGACACTGGCAGATATCCGGAGGTCTTGGCACTGCATGGTGACAGGTAATGAATGGTAAGATTTGGGAGCCAGGGCCAATGAGAAATCCGGCTTGAGAATGTGCTGCCTGTTTATTGGTGCTTAATGAAAAACTATTTACCTAAATCACCAACAGGGAGGGTTTCTGGGTAAAGCTCTGGAAAGAGGGCTAGCTTTTCTGTCAGTGACAAATGTGCTGCTGTTTTTCCAATTCAAATCGAATTGACGTGAAAAAACAGCCACTTGGTCCTCAAGAGCAGCCTAGACCCACCATTTTAAGTCCTAATCCATGTGATGTAGTGTAAATTGTTAAATACTCAAGAAAAGCAGACAGACATTTAAAGCTGCCACATTTCCATATTTTCATATTGATAATATAACCTTAGATTAAGTGTGATATCAAGGGGTTTGCTAGTAGGGACAAACTCAGAGAGAGTTGTAACTCCCCTCTGCAGTTCCCCCCAGCTCTACAATGGTCTCACACACATACCCAATCTCTCATCAACCAAATTACCTTATTTTTCAACAAAAAATGCTTTAATAAACCTATCCACCAACAAAAAGCAGTTAGATAAAATTAGCCGCTAGCTAGCTGAGCTAAGCTAACTAAGTCCAACAGCTTAAGCCCTGAGCCTGTTTTTCAGGTTTCAGGCTCGAAAATGACATGCCCAGAACGAATGACTATAACTTCACTTCTAAAAGGGTTAAATTAATAATCTTTTTTCTCAAAGCAAGGTTACATCTGTGAGTTGGATGTAGAAGTGTCAGAATCAATATAGATGTTTCTGTGTCAGAGTAAATTCAGATGGAACATTGTAAAAAAAGGTAAATTCTTACCTCCGCCTAAAAAAAAAACATTACTTATAGTGAAAACCACCCTTGAATGATGGGATAGTAGACTAAAAGCTTTATGAATCCAAACTACAACATATAATAAGTACCCTGTATCAAGATTGATGCAAAACAAGTGACATTTGACCTCTTTAGAGAGATTTATAAAAATAAAAATAATATGAAATCTCCGTTTTTTACATAAAAATGCAATGATGGATTATCAGTAATCCTTTCAAAGTGACACAGACACATTGGATTAACCTATGGATAGCAAATAAAAGCTTTTCAGCGGCGTTTTTATTGTTTTAATGCCATTGAACACGACTATTGATCAGAATAACAGCTAATTTGAGACGATTTCCCGTGAATGTTCCGTAATTCACGTGTTGTGACGTCTGTGTTTGCTTCCCCTGTCACGAGTTCTGATTGCTCAGTGATGATACGTATACCTATAGAATCTGTGGAATCTCAGCTTTAATTTGATATCTTGTTTTTGTAGTTATGATAAGTAATAAGGGTATTTTTACCTTGAGTTCTGTGGTAAGTGTGTTAGCATTTTTTCGCTCAGGGCTCATTTAGACGCTTCTTGTGAGACTTGTGTTTTGTTTCGGTAAAAATGGTTCGTATTGTCAGTTAGCTGAGTTTCTTCCCGTTAAATAGGTATGACACATTAATAGGTTTTTAAATATTAAAAAGCCCTGAGACACAGTTTCGTGAAAAAACACCCCACTGCCCCCTGTACAGGGGGCTCTAGGGCTTAACAGGGCCGCTAGCTCTAATCACTGAGCTATAACATTACATCTCTAGCTATTTAGTTTATCCTTCATTTTGTGCGCACTGTGTGATTTTACTTAATTGAGCCGTACATAAAACACATTTCCCCATTGATCGATAAGCTTAAAAGAATAAGAGTAAAACGTTTATAGATATAGCATATAGAGTTAAATAAACACTACTAATGAGTTATGTGTAATAAGGTCAACCCTTTTATTAATTGCTAACGTACACATTGTTGAATATTCAATAGGATGTACTTAAATATTTGTTTTCATCATCTGAACTTATATAATGTTCTGAAATGAAAACATGTTTTCAATAGCAGTCTGATTAAAAAGAGTTCACCTCTCGACTTATTCCCACACGTCCTCTATTCGAGGAATTCCTGTGACTTAATGATATGCTTCCACAAAGACTCCAAATGTCATTAGTTTGAGGAAATATGCATTGTGCAATGCGTGTTCTTATTGAATTCTTTAATAACTGTGATAGCTCTGTCAGAAATATTCCAAGCATGAAATTAGGGCTTCTACCAGTGCGCTGCTGTTAAATTTCTTTCTTTCTTTTTTATTGGAAGAAGAAATACTAAGAAATGACATACTAAAGGACATGCTGATAAGGAAATAACAGTGTATATGCAGATTCATGCAAGGCTTAATTTGTTTGTATAATAATTACCACGTCAAGCTCCGTGACCTTTCTTTTATGTACAGTATTAGGACAGTTTATTGTATGTTCTTAAACCCACATGTGCTCGTCTTGATTTGTTCCGGAGTACAAACTACTGTTGTGGTGAACAACTTTGATCTTTGTTTAGAGAGAAATCATGACAAACTAAAAGACTTCACCTCAGAGTGCACAGGAAGAGCTTCGGAGCCATGGCAACAGGAGCGCGAGGCTCTTGAAATGAAGTTGGCTATACCGAGGAGCAGTTGGCCAAGAATAAGCCTGATGTGTGCCAGAAAGCAACCTTTCCTGCTGACACTGCTCCTGCCTCTAACGTCTTTCTCTGCCCTTCTCATCTCCCCGTCTTTCCACCTCTCGCCCCCTTCAATCCCTCCCTCCCCATCTACAAAACCTCATACTTACTCCCTCGCATGTGTGCAACCTCTCCTTCTCCTCCTTCTTTCCTACCTCTCAGATTATGGTGTTGACAGATCCAGAGTTTGAAAGCAGCATGCTCATCAGCTCTGATGAGGGAGCCAGTTTCCAGAAGTACCGCCTCACATTCTACATCCTGAGCCTTTTATTCCACCACACAGAAGAAGACTGGGCCTTAGCCTACAGCCACGACCAAAAGGTGAGATTGCGATCTGCATACTTTTCTCTACCTTTGTGTTGCCCACTATACATATTCAATAATGCCTATACTTAGATAATTACCTTATGGTAGGGGCATTCATCCATTTGCTGGAAATGAACACTAAAATAGTGGTATGAGCCTTTATTTACCAGAAATAAATAGACCCTTTTTTAGAATATATTATCATATTTTACTTGGAGATATTCCGGTTCTCTGACCTGCTCCCATTTGCAATGTAAATATGATTTTTGATGCCAAGGCAAAGTAAATACTTCCTTTACTGTTCAACTATAAATCCCTTCAAGTAGTAATAGAGCATAATGGCATTCATGAAAATGACTTGTTTGCATAATTGGTTAATGGACTGCTGAGAACTTTTGTGTTTTTGCGGCCCCTCAAAGTGCTTTTAAATTTACAAGTCAGCATTCACACACATTCATATACGGACAGAGGCTGCCATACAAGGTGCCACCTGCTCAAGAAGACTACCATTTGCACTGTTGGCCATCGGTAATAACATGGGGTTCAGTATCTTGCCCAAGGTTACAGCAACATGTTGCCTGCAGGGGCTGGGAGTCAATCCACTGACCCTCCAAACTGTAGACCACCACTTTTTCTCATCGCCACAGTTGCCCAAATCGCAAAACTCAAAAGCTAAATCTTTACTTACAAAAAAGGTGGAAGACTACAAAAATCCAAGCTGGCAAATGAACTATTAAAAGGCTAAATGGAGATCCGGAACATTCAGGCAAAGGTCAAAACTCAGGGTGAAGATATGTGCTGGCTGGCTATGGTTTTAACACATGAATAAGGCATATGGCAGAAGATAACCTGGCAGCAAACTAGTGGGAGGTCACTGCGTCAAACAGTCCAAAAATTAGGTCTTATGTGTTTTCCTACCCAGTATACCTTAACATGAGTCAAAACATTCATGAGGATAAGGAAAGAGGCGAAGGAGAACTCATCAGGACACAGGAAAAGATGACCACGGTCCCAACGTATTTGTGATGCGCCAGCAGGTGTTATTCAGTGGGTGAGCCGTGGGGAACTAGACTTTTCTTTACAGTGGACTCTATATAAGCACACTTAGATCATTTGACCCGTGCGCTCTTATGGTGTTATTTTATGGAGGCTTCATAAACGTGGATTACACCCTCCTGCCCGTACTCAGTCATCCAAATAAATCCTCAATCAACCAATATTTTGAATAAATAAAACTTTTAGCAAAATGTGTAACTTTTTAGAGCTAGGCATCTGTCACTGCATATCCCCGTTCAAACAGCAACAAAGAGACCCCAAACAACTATTTTGACTTTGGCAAGTTATGGCATGAGATGGAAATTGCACAATGAGCACCGTTGCTTACATGATCAGCATTTCGTTTCTGTAAAAGGCCGAATGGTGCGTCGCTTTAAATGTTCCGGCCAGAGGTATTGTGGGACAGCATTATCAACTTTCGTAAAGGATGGTCCAGTGTATCCTAAACTGAAGGAGATTATAAAGGAAGCATTGACGCTCCTTCCTTTACCATCAACATAATTCAAACATTTTATATAATGGTTGCTTCTTAGGTACTTCAGGGTCATTTCACTCAGTTAGGAACCTTTGTAAGCAAATTGACATATTGACCGCAATCCTCGTAAATATACTAGGGACCTAATAAGGGAATGAGCAGGAGAAGTGCATCCACTGATGGATGGGCAGAGAATGACATAACACAAACAAACTAAAAAGAATAAGAATCATAAGTATAAGAAGTTAAACTCAAAGCCATGACAGTCCCTTTGTTGCCTGAACAGAGCAGAGACCATGATGTCACTTTTGTTTCTTTTTCTTTCTGAAGTTAAAGTATGCTACATTAGCCAAAAACACCACAACACTTAAATGATCTCATCCTCCGCTTCACTTCCATCACCTTCACTGGGCTTTGTCACACAGTATGGAGCTCTGCACAACATCTCCAGACAGTGCTCTAAGATTGTCCCCCAGCAAAAGGTCTGCCATTAAGGTCAATGACGGTGACCCGAGAGCCAAAGCCATCACGCTGCGGGGTAGGGGACGTGGAGCAGGAGGGAGATGATTGGTGAACAGTGGTGGCTGTATCAAACCTGACAGCGATGAAGCTTTGAAAAAGTTGTCACCGCATGAGCAAATGTCAGAGTTATTCTCAGCTGAGTGGATTTACAGCGCCTAAGATGTACAGGGTCGGGAGGGTCACTTCAAAAAAATGCATTCTGTAACAATAACTAGTTACATGAAGACAAATGTAATCAGCAACCTAAACTGAGTATGAAAATATTATAGTAATGTAACTTGATTACTTTGCATTACTTTTTGATTACTCCAATATCAAATGCAATTTGTATTATGTAAGACAACAGAACAATGTAACCTTAAAAAAGAAGAAACCAAGATATTTGGGATCAGAAAAGTGTCCTCAGCTTAGAAATGTTATGTACTGTATAAGAAAACCTGCCTTACATTTAGCATATTCAGGCAGTAGCCTATACAACAACAATGAAACACATGAGCACAAACTACAGTTTAAAAAAAGCAGAAATAACATTTGAGCTGACAGAAAATGCTCCGTTAGAGTTTAATACTGTTAAGCTCACACACACTATTTTATGAACATATAGGTTCACCTCCTAAATTAAAAAAAGGACAAATGAACCAAAGAAAGTGAAAACCATAAATCAGATTCAGGCAGTAGACGTATAGATTCACACTTAAAGTATTAGTATTCTTTAGTAATATTGTAATCTCCAATTTCTTGTTATGTAACAGTGAACTGATTACGTCTTTGTTAATGTATCTGTAAGGTAATACAGCTACCTGTTTTTGGTTCTTGATGACGTAATCCTGTTACAGTACATGTGATTCCTAAGCCTGTGCATCAATGGTTAAACACATATACATTTTAGTTAAAAAAATTGATTCAAATTCACAAATAAATGAACCTGTAGGTCTTTTACTGGATTTTAAGCGTTTATCATCATGTTATATTCAGCGAAAGTTATGGCTCTTGCAAATTGGAATTTCCTCACATCTAACTTAAAAATCTTATTTCCACACATTTAGCATGAGGTCAACGAAAGCAAAACAATCATAAGGATCTTGACTTTCGCTTAACTGCTGGTGCTCCATAATTAAAAAGCAGCATGAACATGTTGCTGCTGCTGCTATTTTAGACTGCGAGAGTAACTAATAAGAAGAACAAGTCAGGCAGGTTCAAGAAATCCCTGTGAACTCTGGGTAGGAGTAGTTAAAAGAGAGTTGCTGTCTGCCTTTAGTCAAGGAGCAACAAATAACATTATTCTGATGGATTGCAAGTAGTAAATACTACTTTTAAGTCATTGCTGTTATATTATTCTAAATCAGTCTTTTCCTAATGTTAATGAAAAACAGCCCTCAGCATAAAAATGTAAGTGTATACAAAATATGAGATGTGCCTGAAAAAGACTCAGAGATCAATGATCTGTTTGATTAAATACATCTCTTCTCTTTCAACTCCTGAATGTGTTATCCTGATCCACCTCTCAGGGCTGTTGTTGCAAAAAGAGAATATGCTCTTCATCTAGCTAGTTGAAAGAGGTTTACACAGATATTATTGCTTCCTTAATTTGACCGGATTTCCCTCGCAGGCCTCAACACTTCATCTCGACGGTTGAGCCGGCAGCGAGGAGCTTTAATGTGCTCATTTTCAGCTTGTAACTGGCTAATATTTTTCAGAATGGTTCACTCTGATTTTAATCAGCTGTGAGTTGGTACTTAGCCATGCTTAACCCTAGCCCTGAGGACTTAACTTTAAAGCAGGAGTGAAACTCTTTAGACATCGGAATGCATGTCAGAACAAATGGGCTGAAGTGAAATATTTGTTGTAATTTTCGATTCTCTTTTATGCCATCATTTTTTTTTAACATTCAGGTCAGACCCCTCCTCAACTAAATGGATTTATTTTTAGATTCAGAACTCCTGGTGACCTATACAGCCTCTAATGTCTTGACTGTGAGGGGTTTATAGAGACGATTACCCATTGATGTAGTCCCATGCTGGCTTCTGAGAATAAGGCCAATGTTGGTGCTGCCAAGTGAGTGAGTTATGCAAACAGCATGACACAGTAGAGTGAAGAATTTTATTTTTTCCTATTTGACAAAAGCCCAGACAAGTACAGGCTGTTATTTTTTTCATCTCTTCACTGATTCTTGAGAGACTTTCTTGCCTTGTAGCGAACGGGACAACTACAGTGTTTACAGCTTTTTATTGGTAGATATTAATTAGCATTCAAGGTATAATGCAGATGAATACATCTCTCCAAACAAAATGAAACAAGATAAATATTTCCCATTGTGTTACTAGCAGTGGAACTTCAGGGATTTGTAAACACAATGTTTCTATCACGGCAATTATTACCGCTGCTGCTTACGCCTCAGCAAACTTCTGAGACAAGGTTGTGACTCTAATGGACTGTGTAGTAATTACTGTTACTCATCTAATAATTATATCAGAGACAGTGCTGTACAATGTAATCAAATGTTCTTTCCAATCAGCTATTTCTTCGTGTGAACTCCTGATCTCAGACATAATGAAAAAAGCTTTTATTTGCTATTAAAACCTTTTATCTTATTATCATATTAACCCGAATTTAAGACGACCCTGATTATAAGACGACCCCTCTTTTCAAGACTCATTTTTGGAAAAATCCCTTTTCTCTGACTGTTTACATTTTGTAATCTTTTTGGGCTCGCCATCTTATAACGTTACACTCAGAAACACCATCTTTTTTTGCTGCTCGACAGTTGTTTGATGACTCTGCTTCGTTGATCACCATTATCTTAAAATTCTCATCATAACTTTGCCTCTCTTGTTTATTAACTTGCCTACTTTTGAGCCATTTTGTTTGAGTTGGTCACTGTGTCTCTCCATCTCTATCTCTCCAGACACCTGTTGCTGTGTACTGTTACCGTACTTTAAGGCGGTGTCTCGCTTGGGGGGGA